TTTAAATATATATGTTTAATTAACAAAAAAGTAATTTAGTTGAAAGGTAGTCAAATTAATAAATATTTTTTAAATGAACAAATTAAATAACAAAAATATATTTATTTCTTCCACGATAATATTGCGCAGAAAGAAATTGCGAGAAAGGCTGAAACGTATATTTGGCTTAAATACTAATATATATGTTCAATTAACAAAAAAGTAATTTAGTTGAAAGGTTTAGTCAAGTTAATAAGTTTTTTTCAGTGAACAAATAAAATGGAAAGAAAAATTAATTTATTTCTGCTAGTATGTGCAGAAAGAAATTGCTGAAGAATTTGTTTAATCCAATCGTTCGTTTACTTTGCGCGTCTAAAAATAATTACGATAATAAAATTCAAGACATAAATCGTAATTGATGTCGTAATTATCTTCTTTCTATTTTTTTATAGTCGACGTATTAATCACGCATATTTCGAATAATCGGGGAAATATAATCTCGCGTCGGAATGTTACTACTATTACATAGTTTGATAATTGAAATAGAAAATATATAAAAGTTAATCCAATACGTGGAATTTCTCAACCGGTTCACGACGGATTTAACGCGATCGCGCGAATACATTTACTTCGATTGTAACAACCGGTTTGCGAGGGATATCAAAAGAGAAGTAAAACAACGGGATTATGCATTGATCGGCTTAAGAAACCACGTGATCCCTGTTGCATGTGTTGATAATCTTACTCTATTTTCATACTGAGATCACGAAGGAACAAATCGCAACTTTCGATGGCACGATTCTTTTAATTGACATAACAATTAATTTTTATCTGCATCCTATGTACAATTTTCGTAATATTATTAGATTTTTCCGACTTATCTTTATTTCTCACTTAATTAGAATTTCTTACGGCTTTTTTAACTGAAAGAAAGTAAATTGCAGGTTCCCGACATGATGAAAGTTGGAAAACAATGAGGCAGTAAAATTGCAGCGTTTCCCTAACTATTTTCATGGTATTGTGAAGTAATTAATGCGCGAAAGGAGAAAGAAAGTGGGAAGCACTATTCGTTAACAAGCATTCCATGTTACACAATTTAAAGCGAGAAAAAAGAGAGAGGAAGAGAGTGATACAGAGATCTTGTAAATACATACATATATGTTTGTTTTCTAGGATTTAGCTCTTGTTTTTAAACTTGTTTATAAGGTAAATAATTTATACATATTTTTAGATGAAAATTTTCGCTTATATAAATAGGGGGAAGTCATTTCTAAAATTATCCCCTTAAATTACTACGCCATTCTTCTAACAATAAGTAGTTGTAAACACACGATATATCATCTACAACTTCTTTTCATAGAAACAAAAGTATAAGTGCAAAAATATGCACACTTGTAATTTACAAATATTTACTTACCTACAATGAAACATTGTATTTTTAATGTTAGCATGTACTAAAAAAAAACTATTAAATTTAAATAAATATTTATTCAAATAGTTTCTTTTCCACATTTATTTGCAACGAATAAATATTCATTATCTGTTTTGAAAAAGGATTTCTTATATCAAATAAATATTTTTTCACGGCGAATCAATATTATTTCAAATAAATAATGTATAAAAGAGTATCGAAATAAATATTTATTTGAATTAAATAATTTTGGTTCAGTGTATATACAACAACGATGATACTTAATTAAATTGTTCAAGAAATATTCAGATAATTTTCTCATACACGGAAAGATAAGTTTGGGAAAAAATACGCGGGAGCTTAAAACATTCCGCGAATAAAAAATCAATAAAAATATTATTGCATGCCAACTCACATTTTACAATTAGTACGTCTTTTGTGTACCAATGCACAAAGGCGACGACATGCGTTAAAAGAATACGGCGAATGACTCATGGAAAAATCTTATACGACGTCCACGTCGCATCCATTTGTTATCGTCGTTAGTCATACCTCGCAATACACTTAATCTTTGTCTAACGACAAAGATGCTCTATTTTCGTTCTTCCGGAAAAAATAATCAAGCGTATCCAACTTTATCAACGATATCGAATCATATGACTCCGCGCGAGAATGTTTCGTGAAATTGCTAATCTCGATATCGCGATAACGATGTTCTCCGCGATAAAACGTGCAAATAGGAGGTTTTGTACTGATTATCCTGCTTTTAACAAAAAGACTATCCGGAAACGTATTTCTACGTCTGCAAAAATCACGAAGAAAATACGTATGTTTACAAGCACAATGTAAAGTGTGATTAAAAAATGGTGAAAAATTTGTATACATGTGAAGAATATTTCTCTTCAAATATTTCAAAATAAACGTCGTGTAATTTCATACAAAATTATCAAGCTTATCGGACATGTGTCTTTCGACTTGTCTGATATAAATTATTATAATTCTATATATCGGAGCAAAATTATATTCTTCCACTATTTATCGTTGAAAAAAAACTGTTGCAATTTGATCTAGAAATGGGGAGAACTCGCTGCTCTAATTTGCTCTTTTACTAATGTGTGAGAATTAATCTGAATTTCATCGTCTCGACACTTTGAGACTAAATTAATGAATTTGTTGAAAAGTAGGTCGAACAAGTTACCAGAGATTTCTCGAAAATTAGCGTCTGGTTTATTTTTCTATACAAATCTATGCTGTGCGAAAGACGCAATCGCGAAGAAACAATGCAGGGATGTTATCGTGTGATCTTTCGATATCTCTTGAGAAATCGTGCGTGCGCGAGAGAGGAGATTTCGATAATTATACATACATTAGAGGCCAACATGTATACATGAATACGCAGCGAAAATGCTGTATCGTCGAAACTCACATCGACTTGCCGTATAAATAGTTATGGGATAACGTCGCATTTGCATGCAAATTGTTTCAACTCGCGGTTCTCACAGGTGCGATTCCACAAACGGTTGTACACATAATGCGAAGATACCGCATTCATTCGATATGCAACGCGTTCTTGCTATCTGCGAACACGTCGTCTCTTACTGTATATACGCATTGAATCACACAAAAATCGATTAAAACGTCGCGTCGTGAATCCGCAAATAAATTTTATCTAATTTATAATTCGAATAAATTTTATTTTGACTTGTTAGGAATGTATGTTGTGCATATTATAACGTATAGAATATACACTAAAGGAATTTAAATTCCTTTTATACACTGAAAAAAAATTTGTTAACTTGACTAAATCTTTTAACTAAATATTATTTTGTTAATTGAACCTATAAAAATATTTAAATTAAATATAACATAGTAAATTTAACAAAACATATATTTGACTTAAATTAGTTAAGTTTAGTTAAGTTAATAAATTTTTTTCAGTGTATAAAAAGGAATTTAAATGAAAATTTACATATATATAGCATCGGTTTAAAGAGAAAATAATTCAATAAAATAAGAAATAATTTTAAAAAAATGTATATATTATATTATAAATTAAACTTGCTAATTCTTAATGTAATTTATCTGCGTCTTACAAATGGAAAATATAATTCTTCAAAGCCACATTGTGCAATATCGAAAGTCGGGATCAGATATAAAAGCTGTCGAAAGTATATGTATGCTGTAACGGATTTTGTTCGTTCTCGCGTAACTGGGACATGGCAAAAGGAAGAGAGAAATAAATTTTAGCAGCGCATGCAAACCTTTGTGCTATCCAACACACATGGCAATTCGCGACTGCTAAAAAGGGCACGGCACTAATGGAGTCAGTGATCTGGAGACCTTGTACAGAAGAAACAGACCGTTCGTTCGATAAAACCAGTTGCGCATCAGTCGAATAAGTGGCACATATATATACCACGCGAGTTAGAAGGGTAGTCTTAAGTCAATCGATATTATCCTCACGTTTTCTTTACTCTCAAGCCATCTAAGTTCGAAAGAGTGGTGAAAATTGTTTTCATTATGATATAAGAAAAAGAGGAATTTTTTACCTCTGCAAAATTGTTACTCATTATCAGTTTATAATTAAAAAAATAATATAAAACAATTTGAAAGTAATTATTAACATAAATTAATTGCGGTACGTATAATATACTACACAAGTTAGAGGGGTAGTTTTAAGTCAGTTGATATTATTCTCGCAGTTCGAGAAAGTGGTGAAAATTGTTTTCACTATAATATAAGAAAAGAAAGAATTCTTTTTAATCTCTGCAAAATTGTTACTCAGTTTATAATTTAAAAAATAATATGAAAAATTTAAAAGTAATTAGTAACAAATTAATTGCGGTACATATAATGTACCACACAAGTTAGAAGGGTAGTTTTAAGTCAATCGATATTATCCTTACATTATTTTCTTTACTTTCAAGCCATCTATGTTCGAGAAAGTGATGAAAATTGTTTTCATTGTGATATAAGAAAAGGAGGAATTTTTTTTACCTCTGCAAAATTGTTACTGAGTTTATAATTTTAAAAAATAATATGAAACAATTCAAAAGTAATTAATAACATAAATTAATTGGAAGATAAATATTCATTATTTTGTGAATCAAGAATTATGCGTTGCAAGAGGAAAGGTTGTACAAATTAGATATTTAAATGACACTCATTCTGTGGAAAAAACTTGATGGGAAATGTGTGACAAGCGGCACAAAGCTATTGCTTCAAACCGACTGTATATAGTTAAACATCTCTCTCTGTTAACTTTATAAATTGAAACTTTGTCCTCGTTTTAAGAGAACATAATATAACTGCATAATGCAAAGTGTTCGATCTTGCCAAATGAAATAATGTAAACATTAAGCAATATCAATGGGATAAAAATTTTCTCACAAAAAATTTATCGTGATCTAGATTCTAGATGTATCCCTGGGACAAAAAATTCGATCGATTCCGACGATGCTTATGACAGTTACAACGATAATGCTTTTGACATAATGAGGATGAATATACGTAGTTATGCATACACGCGAAATGAGCATATGTTTTTTCCTATAGCCACGTGGAATCGCACAGAGAGTACGCAGTAAAGAATCGATTATGAAAAACTGACCTTGTTGTAGTTGTAATTTATATACACGCCTTTCAGCTCATCTTCGGTCGAGAGTTCTGTGTTTGGGCTGTTCGGTGGGCTCTTCGGGCTAAAAAATGCAAAGAAAAACAATGTTGTAATTCAAATAAACGGCATAGATCGTGTAAACGATCATTTTCCGTCTTAAAATTATTTCGCAAACGCAAAGTTATTTTTATACTTATTTATTTTATCAATATTTTTGACGCTTATTTCTCATTTCAATGTTATTAACATTTATTCAAGATCTAAAATTTATATCTATTTAAAGTTTAGCCAGTTTTTGGTCGAATTAAATTGCATCTTATTATTTGTTAAAATTTTATCACTGGCAATCAACAATTAATTGTGAAGATTTTAAAGTTTATATTTATTTTCGCACTATATCTTTTGATTTGACATTTATCTGATTTCTACAAAAAATATTAATCGATTTCGAAATAAACTCAATTATAATAACCTTTTTATACTTGAAACGCTGAAGGATTAAATCATAATTCCAATTGTAAAATATTGTTTATAAAATATTCAAAAGATGAAGAGAATTTTAGAAACAATCATCGAATAAACGCAACGTTATAAACAAATTATTTAATATTTATTATAATATTATCAAAACAATTAATTAACCTCTGAAGATTTACGTGTAATTCAACTACATTTTATATTTTATTTATCGCATTATAATTTTTACTAATTTATTATCGCATTATATATTATATATTTTACATTTGTTGTTTTTCGAGCGTAGAATATATGATTTTTTTTCGTTCATTTTCTATACTGTTGACTTGCGTTAGGTTCGCTGAAAAATGTCGACATCGCTTATCACACGCGTTATGCCTACAGCGATAAGACGCATTAAAAAGTCACGACGATAAATGTCGTCGTGGAAGTTTGCGACCCCCCACGCATGATTTATCGATGCGTCGTAAAGTCGATCGAGCCTACGACACTTGCGCGATTGCAATAATTGTATTATATATCCTTGACGCTTGTCACCGACATCGTAACCAAGGAAAACTTGATGCGATCGATCGGTTATCGCCAATATCATCGCAGTATGCGAAAAGTCTCACTGAACCTGATAAACGTAATTATGTACTTCTGTCAAATGCGCCGTACAATATGTTATCTGGTTCTTTACTGCAAAAAATTTGTCAACTTGACTAAATCTTTCAACTAAATTTTTTTAATTCAACATATATTAGTATTTAAGTCAAATATACGTTTTATTAATTTTAATATATTATATTTAATTTAAAATCTTATATGTTCAATTTAGTTGAAAGGTTTAATCAAGTTAACAATTTTTTTCACAGTGTTCCCATTATAGTTTTTTTGCAAAGTGGACCTGTTTAAGTAAAAAAAATAGTTGTTTAAATATATATACGAATATATATCGTTCGAATTCATTAATAATATCTTGCTGTCTGATTTCGATAAGATGTCTTATATAAGTCTGATAAATGCATTTATTATTGCATAATATTAATTGCGTAATATTAATTGATTAACTTAATATACATATATAAACGAGACAATGTTTGATAAACTTTAGTTTCTAAAAGATAGGCTACACGTGCTAGGTAATATGCTAAACAAAACTATGTTGCGTATGTTGTTGAAAAAATGGCACATAAAAAATACTTATCTATAATTTAAAAACTCATTTGTTTAGAGAAATAAGCGTTAATAAGCTCAGAAAAAAACTTCAAATAAATTCCTTTTTTCACTCTTTTAAAATATCTCGATCCTCCCTCATGCAGTTGCTAAAAAGCAGTTTATCATGATAAAATTCTCTTCAATAATGAACGTCAAAGTTTATGTGACTAGCAATAAAACATTTAATATATATATTTTATAAATTAAACTTCGGCTCGTATACAATTAAAATATGTGATATAATAAAAGGCCAACTTAACGAGCTTATATGCTATTAATTGAAAAAATTTTTATTTATTAATTTACATACTATACAAAAGTTAAGATAAACGTTTCGACTGTACGACAGTCTTTCTCAATATCCTAATAATATGTTAAAAAATTAATTTAGTCATTTCGACCTTATTATAAATACAACAATTATGAGATTATATGACGAACGCAGTACAAAATTCATGTTTGTTGGCATGAGTTAGAGCGTCAGATGCTGTTATATTATGTAACGACATTTTTTGTCAACGAACATAACACTTTTTTAAAAAATTATTTCTTTTTACTTAACATAATCACCAAAAGTACACAGTTAAAAAGTACACATGGTGATTATGTTAAGTAAAAAGAAATAATTTTTTAAAAAAAGTGTTATGTTCGTTGACAAAAAAATGTCGTTACATAATATAACAGCATCTGATGCTCTAACTCATGCCAACAAACATGAATTTTGTACTGCGTTCGTCATATAATCTCATAATTGTTGTATTTATAATAAGGTCGAAATGACTAAATTAATTTTTTAACATATTATTAGGATATTGAGAAAGACTGTCGTACAGTCGAAACGTTTATCTTAACTTTTGTATAATATGACGTAAATTAATAAATAAAAATTTTTTCAATTAAAACATTTAATATTTGTACGCTAAAACATTTATAATTAAATCAATGGTGTTAATCAGCTCGTTCATTTCTTCCCGAAAAAATATTTCGTCGCTCATAAAAAAATCAATAACGGGTGATGAATGCAAAATATACGCACAAACAAAGCGCAGTAAAACGGATTAAACCTGTAGTAATGCGCGACACGTGTCGTTCTAGATTCGAATATATCCGCCACTTTGTTGCGCAAATATTGTCAATAACAGAATCGCGACGATTTTAATGTTCGAGATAACGTTATGTGGAAAATTACGACCGTATGCAGATGCAAATCGACATGTCGCTTTACCGTAACTTTCGGACGCCGCAAATATTTTCTTCGATTTAATTTCGTTCCTCCTTTCTCTCGCGTGTCAGAAAATATGCGTCTCGACTATTTTCGGTCAGAGACTCTTGCATATAAACATATTGGGAATATACGTCTCTTTGTCTCTTCGCGTGTTGCACAAAGGCACATATCGCTCTTGTTCTTCTGCCAAGATATTTTTATGTCTATAAGTTTAACAATGACGCTATACTCTAACCGTGTTAAGAGCTACGTGTTAATTCAGCCGTGCGAATATCGAGATGCGACAAAATTTAAACTATATTGTAAATGTTTATGTTTGTAATTAGAAGTCTATTTTTTACGGCTGACTCTACGCGATATCTTTATCTTTGTTTGCATTTGCAATGCAACTGTAAATAAGAATCAATTTGACGTCTATTCGAAAGTACATCTGCATACTGATTAAGGAAATTAGTAATTGTATGCATCAATTAAATTCTGCTGCTATTTGAACTGAGAATTTTTTTCTAAAAGAAATGCGAATATAAGACGATTTTGTGGCAGAAAAAAATAAATTACAAATCTCGTTAGATCTCTTTGAAATATTAAAATAAGAAAAAAAGAAAACACGAGAAACGTATATAAATTATAATTTGTAAAATATCATTTTTTACGTAAATTTAAGTAAATTTCTAAATTCAAGAGGGTTTGTAAGTAAAAAAAAGAATTGTAATTAATGAGATATTTATAATAATTTTATAGACTTTGTGTCTGTTATGCAGTAATCATTGCAATTGCACAATTGTCGCAATCGAGCACATATTCATCATCAACGATAAAGTTCAAAAAACAATTTCCGCTTTAAAGCCATTTAAAATAATTCGCTAAAACGCAATCGCGGTTGCGATATAACCAGTGGGTTATCCCTCTTTTTTCGCTCTTATCTATTCGATCTCGAGGACTGACTTATATCTGACAACGCTTCTTACTTTCTTACTGCGAAACCTTTTCTAAAGAATAAAAAAGGAATATAGCAGAGACTTTTTCTCTTGCGCTCATGAGTAGGGATATAAGTATCCCCGTTTGAGTGGCCGACTTTGTTGTAAACTGACAATCAACTCCGAATATAATAAAAATTTACTATACATTGTTCGCAAAACGTGCTTAGCTCTCTTCAAGGCTTTTATAGTTTCTCGAAAGAAACTAGAATATCGCCTAGATTTATCAGCGCAATTTCAAAAAGTTCTTCCATTTACAACTTCATGAATCATGCACAGTAGAAAAATGTATGTTTTCTTGTAAAAAATGTTGAAATTTTTTGTTAAATATTTAACACATTTATGTGTTAATTTAACATATTGCTGTTATGTTAAAATAACACAATGTGTACCTATTTTTAATTTTACACAATAAATATTCTGCTTTAATAGTGACAAGATTGATCTGTTAAAATTTACAGAAAAAAATGTTGATAAATGGGGATGATAAAATCTAAAATTAACATATTTTTACTTAATTTTTACATTAAAACTCTATGTTAATTGCACACAAAATTTATTTGAAATTATTTGAAGTTTTGCATTTATTTTGTGTTAAAATATTAACCCAATATTTGTGTCTTCATTTAACATATCATTATTATGTTAAATTATGTAACACCAAAATTTCTGTAATATCTGTTAAATTTAACACAAATGTTTCAACTATGTGGTCTTTAAAGGGCTTTAAAGGGGTATCCTACCTTCGCAATCGAGAGAGCATGTGAAAGGAAACTTGCAGAATTTTGCGGAAAGCCGACTGATCCAGTTAAACTTGAACTTTTCTCACCTGTCCCTTGGAGTGTCGCGGCGCGAGGACGCCAAGGAATGCCTCGCCGACGAATGTGTGGAATCTCTTTGTGCTTCTCGTAGAAGTCGCAGATATTCGCGTTCGCCGGTGATGCTAAAAGGTGTCGGCGTTATCCGGGCTGCAAGTGGCGGGTCCGCCACCAGCTCCACCCATGATTCTGCGCAGTTAAAAAAAGAAAATCTGTTATTTTCTATTTTATACGCTTGTATCCGGCCGGCTCGTATTCCATCCGACAGCTTTCCGGTAATTAAGGTAAATATTCTCGCGTTGCAGCCATTTCTCACAGTGCCGGCAATAATAATTTATTATTTTCGCACACAACGGCCTGACATTTTATCGTGAAAAGTAAGAAAGAGATTAAATTGTAGCTAATAATTTTATCGTATTTATTTGACTTTATTGTCAATATTATTTTCGAGATTTTCACGAATAAAATTTATTATTATTAATAAATGCTATAAGAAAGGTAAAAGTTACCTCGTCATTTCTAATACTATAATCATTTTTTGTGGATTTACAATTTTTATATTCTTAATAAAAATTTAATGTGTCGCAATTTTTTAATTGTAATCAAATTTTAATACTATACTAATAAATTTAAAATGCTTTTTGCAAAGTTTTTCATATGATAGTGAAAAATGTTCCATATACATATAATGTACAAAGAATTAATGTCGTTGAACGATGTATACGCGATGACAGACTGTAATATCTTTAAAAATAGCACCACAGGCCATCATATCGATTAGAGTAACCCTACCCTACGAGGTCAAGTTGAAGGAAAAATTGATAAATATAGCATCGACCATCTTATCTCTGTATTGATTCATTATATGTAATCAATATTGATTTTTATCATATGTAATATGTAATATCGATATTTGTACAAATAAAATTGTCAGAAACAAAAATAAATTCATATTTCAATATTCAACACAAAGATTGAAATACATCGAGATCTTAAAAATAGTAATTAAAAAATTATTCAAAGTTATAAAGTTATTTAAAAAATCGTTATACATTTAGAATAAGAAACGTTTTTCTGAAATATGCATTTTAAAATGTATCTTATTTTAATTATTATTATTGTATTGTTTATTTCTTCAGTATTTCTTTATATATATGTCTAGATAATATCACAATAAGTGATTCATGATTTTCATCACATAGAGTATGTTAACAAATAAAAATGTGATTAAATGTGATTTTATCAATGTCATTATACACACAATGACATTGGCAATATAGTTTTTTAACATCTCGTGCCTTTTACGTAAGCAGTATATTAAAATAAAATTCTGACACGTTGACAATAAATAATTGTCATATTATATCATCGTTTTGCTAGAACAATTTTGTTTTTTACATGTTAAGAAAAATGTTGAATGTGCGTCATAAAATAAATGACAATAAATCATGCGTGATAATAATTTTGATCTTAACATTTAATGAAATACAGTTCGGCTCAATCAATCTTTTTACTTATACTTAATTAAAATTTTAATAATTAGTAAAGCACTTTACCAAGATTTTACAATATATTACAATGAAAAATAATCGCCTCCTCAAAATAATAATAAAATAATGGCCGTATTACGAAATTAAGCATTTTTTTATATGTGCAAATTTTTCGCAAAAAAAAAATAATACATAAATTATATCTTATAATTGATAAATTAACTATTATATAAATTCATGGCCGTTAACTCTCTGACAAACATAAATTAAAATGCTCATTAATACACTAAGTAGCATGAGTAATCAATCGAATGCAATTATAATATATATAAAAATGGATAATTGGATCGTTCAACGGCAAATTTAAGAAAAATAGAGATCCTTACATTAAAAAACTTTCTTTTATAAACTGCGCGTGTTATCAATATTCCGTTTTAATGAGTCAAATAAGGAGAAATCCAGTTATACGTTTGTACGATAGAAATCACAAAATGCATCTGCATTTCGAATAGTAATTTTTTTTTACTTGTTTAAACTACAAACTTTGCAATTCATAAGAAACTGTACATTGAAATTATGATTTTATGTATGAAAAATGCATATTTATTTTACATAAGTCATTGAAAAAATGTAAATATATAAATTATTTATCACAATATCAAAATAATATTTTATATTTATTTGCGGTTAAAAAATTAAATAATAAAATAGAGATAGACTCGAAATATTCAAAATATTCCAAAATTACCATTAGAGAAAGAAATTATATAAAATATATAATATAAAATATAATTTCTCTCTCTAATAATAATTTTGGAAAACTTCATTTAAGATTATAAATAAATATGATATACCTAATTTCATACACATTAATTGTATATAGTTATTATGCAAATTAATTGATTTTTTACATCATTAATATGCATATTTCATTAAAAGTGCCACGTGTAAAATGATGTAATTCGATTGTGAACTCTGGTAACGTAATCATATACCAAGGATGAACTCATCGCTGATTAAACCTCGAGTTCATCTACCGTCGTTGCGATAATTTGCTAACTGGATAACGGATATAAATTCATATTCTACGCATCAACGGACTTTGATTTCCATAATTACGAAACTACTGCGCTAACAGTGTACAAAAATAGTACACGCTATTATTTTATCTTGTTATAAACGTACTAACTAGTTTTTCATAGAAATATGACTAGTCAGTCAGATTTTCCGTAACAAGTTAATTCCAGTTTCGTTAATTGTGATTCAGCTGTCAGATATATATATATGTATATGTTATTTATTACCGATCAGAGTTCGTATTCCAGAATTGTGCATTGCATATTTTATTGATAATTTTATTGAATAAGTTTCATTTTAAGACGCGGCTCGGACTTTGATATATTTACATTAATCGCTAATTATATATGGTGACCATATCTCTATTTTCTGAGAAAAGATAGAGGACAAACCCCTGAAAAATTTTGGACTTTGCTTCAACATGTTTTCAAATCAGTTGGCGACCAAAGTCGAATTCGACGAGCAAAAAAAAAATAATTGTATAAGACTATCAGAACTCTGGTTTCTTAAATCTGGTTTCTTAAATCTGGTTTTGGTTTTTTAAATAGGTTCTAGATAAAAGATTCCGTGGTTTCGTACAAATTCTCATGTTAATACTGCACTGAAAAAAATGTGTTAACTTGGCAAAACCTTTCAACTAAATATTATTTTATTAATTGAACATATAAAATGATTTAAATAAATAAATCTAAAGGACAGCTACTTGAAATAAAGGACTGTCCTCTAAACTAAAAGGCGGATGGTCACCATAATTACACCTATACCATGAACAACATATAAAGCCTTAAAATGACATCTCAACGTGTTAAAGCAAAATTTGTAGCATTATCTAAGAACCGATGACAAGAAACGGAAAGAGAAAAGAGTAATGTCGATTAAACGCGATTCATTAATCGCGACGTTCCGTCGTCGCGTTTATGCATACAGCGTTACGCATCATGCGTAACGCACGTGACAGCTACGACATGGTTGGAGTCGAGCGATTATTGCCGCCGCCGCCGGCGCTTTTCTAGTCGCGCAAATCATCCGGATGGTGAGGTTTACTTCGAGTTCGTTCACCTATTCGTAAACCGCCGTCACCGAGGCATATATTCGCGCTTTTGCCCGATCTGACGCGTCGATATATCTCGGAACAAAAATACGGCTACAGTCGTGTAATAAATAATTACGGTGACCATGTTTTCAAAGAGAAAATTTCTAAAGTTTTCTAAAGGACAAATTTGAAAATTTTAGGACTTTGTTTCAGCATGTTTCTAATAGCGAATTCGGTTGGATGCACTAGTGCGCACTGAGTGCACATAAAGGTTATCGCACACAATTTTACAATGACATAAATAGTTAAAAAAGTAAAATAATATTAATAGTATGAGCTATTATATTATCATTATTCATATTGAACAACTATAATAATAGCTCTTACTATTAATTATTTTCCTTTTTTAATTACTTTTGTCATTGTAAACTTGCGAGTGATAAACCTTTACATGCACTCAGTGCGCGTACTAATGCATCCAATCGAATTCGCTATAAATCAGTTTGCGACTAAAGTAAAGATTAACGAGCGAAAAAATAATTATTTTGTAACTATCAGAAGTCTACGTTTACTCTTATACAGGGAGAGAATTTTCTCTTATTGTTAGGATTTACCCTGAAAATCATGGTAATCGTGGGACAATATTGGAAGAATTTTATAAGAATTTCTCTGATTAATATTTACCACAAAAAAATATGAATATGTATGTAGTAAAATTAATCGAATGTATTTTATACCTAATTGTGGTTATTGTGGTAGATATTAATATTTTTATTGTGGTAAATATTATATTAATCAAAGAAACTCTTATGAAATTCTTCCAATACCATATTGGCCCATGATTACCATATGATTCATAAGAATTTACCCTGGTAAATTCTCAGAGAAAATTCGCTCTGTGTTTGAATCTGATTCGATTATCTATGTTGAAACAAACCCTTGATTTCTAGATAAGAGATACAGCATTGTTTTCGTATAAATTCTCTAAAATAAATCAATAAAGAATTAATACTACACCATTAGACGATCAAACGCTAAATAAAAAATAAAGAACAAAATTGTAATATAAAGAAAACAAAATTTTTTAAATAAGAGACAAAATTGAGTTTTCGAAAAATGAATAAATCAAAAGGACAGCTACTTGAAATAAAGGACGGATGGTCATCGTAATTGGTGCATCTTGAAAACTGACTTATTCGGAAAAATCATTGCTTTCTCAAACAATAATTTTCCAAATAATTTCGTTTAAAAATATGTGAAATAACTTTCATTTTCTTGTATGTGTATATATCAATCGATTTTCTATAACACGCGAACCACTAACACTTTTTCTGAGCGACGAAATAATCATCGGCATGGAAAGCTGAACAATAAATTTGCCATGCACGAACTTCTCGAAATTCGCGATTACACAGTAGATCCGTCACGCGGTTCTTATTTTCGAGCAAGCAATTCAAGCACGTACACGATTAATGTTCTTGCAAAAGGAAACGAATTATAAAAATTAATAGTTGCGATACGCGACTATATATATATATACAATGCGTCCCTCTATAATTTAATCTACATTAGCTTATTAAAACGTAAAT